CCCCCCCCCCCTTCGACTAGATATCGATGTAAACAGGTTTAGTCCTCTCCGTTGGGCAACTTTGCCTGGTTAACCCGGGGATGCTGTTTTATCTGCGCACCCGCGCCCGGTCCAGGGCAGAGGGAGGTTTGGGGGGCAGACTCACACCGTCCCCGTCCCCTTTGCTTTTTTTTTTTCTTTTTTTTTAATTATTATTTTATTTTCCCCACATTTTTGAGGTGGTTCCGACCCCTTAGCCCCCCACTTTCGCCGGGCGCGGGTCCGCGGGGGCGGCAGGGCCGGCGGGTCCCACCACCCGGTTCCCAACGAGATGGGAGAGGCGAGAGGATAATTTGGATGTGCGAGAACAAACCAAGGTCATCAACACCGCCGAAAGAGCGCAGGAACAATAGATTCATTTGAAACAATATTTTACAGACGTTTCGCGATCAATATGAACTGAAGCATTATGCTGTACCAATCTGTTAATGCTCTTAATGGTCTTCTCATTCCGTTAGCGCACTATACCGAGTCGATAGAGTAAAGTGATTATTACAGAGACACTTGCAGCATATTTGAAAAAAAAAAAAAAAATACCCCCCCCCCAAAACCCCCCGTACTTCACCACTGCTTTGAAGCGGGATTATTACCCCCCGGAGCGGGGAGCGGCTTCTTGTGTCCCCCACCGTGTGTGTCCCCACCTCTGCCGCCCGTCCTGCGCTGCGCAGCCACCGCCAGCAGAAACACACATCGTTTCCCACCGGATAATTTGCAAGTCTTCGGATTAAAAATAAAAAATAAATTAAAAAAAGAAGAATAAAAAAATACCAACCTCCCAAACTTGCTTTCCGGGAGCGTGCGGCTGCTGGAAGGGACGAACCGCGCAGCCCGGTCCCTTCTCCAGCCCTCCGGGAGGCAAAACTCTTCTGAAATCCCTAAATCTGGTGCCCGGGAAGTTTATATCTTTCCCCTCCCGCTGTTTTGCTATACACAGTAAGCCTCTATTTACTACCAAATAAAAGAAATACATGTATGTTTCGACCACAAACAAGCGAGCTAGTTCTGTTCAGCCGAGCTCAAAACAGTGGCCGAGAAGAACCGTGTTATCTCCCGAATTGCAAACAAAGGCAGAGATTTGCCGAGTGGGGTTGCAGCAGTAAACAGAAGTGGTTGTGGAGTTCCTCACAGCTTAGAGGAATGAAGCAACTTGTTTTTTGGTTTTTTTTTTTTAGCGGCTCAGCTCAGCCGGGGAAGCCGGGGCGGCGGCAGAGCCCTCGCTCGCTGGGCATCCACCGCCAAATGTCACCTCATCCCTAGAAGGAAGAGATTAAACCTCTGATTTCTGGTTTTCCCGGAACATTTGGGGATAGGATGGAGTTTGGGGAGACTTGGGAAAAAAAACCTTCACACCTTGTTGTCCGCTGTCGATTCCGCGGCGCGCAAGGACAGCAAGAAGCAGAACAGCTGCCCT